GGTTACGGGCGGTTCAGGGGCGAATGGGTTAAAAGTAATCAATTTTTTATTAGCACCTAAATGATTTAAGTCATCATTTCTTTTCATAGGATCTAGGCCTGCAGGCAAGTGGATTCAAATTCTCCCGGCAAAGCCGTTATCGAAAGGTGAATTATCATCTCATCAGCTTTTTTGTGATCCTTCTTATCAAATGTATACAACTACTGTATTAATATTTTAAAATGTTTCATTATGGTTTCATTCTTAAGGTTAATCAAAAGAAAGGAAGTGCAACCAAAAGTGTACGTAAGAACAGAAGATCAAGCTTTGCCCAAGGAAGAAAGAAACGAAAGTCTCTGCTCTTCTCATCTGCTCCTGAAAAATCTGGTAAGTACTACTTAATATATAATAATAATAATAATAATAATAATAATAATTATTATTATTATTATTATTATTATTATTATTATTATTGTTTTTTTGTTTAAAGTTTTTTTCATTTCTCATAATTTTCTTGGAAAGGTTTCTAGAGTTGCTTAATTGGTGGCTTAAAATGTGTGAAATAGTCTTTGGATTCATGGAAAACACTGTGTAGCTGTGAAAGTCAATTCAAAGTATGTCCACTTTATGAAAGTTAATGTTATCATTATTTTGGTCTTCAAGCCGTATTTATGTTCTCTTGCTCAGACAGCTATATACTGCCAAACAAAACTACGGTCCTTGCTAGTTGCCTGACACCTTTTCTGACATAATTTTCTTTTATTACTAAACAAAACTGTTGATGATAATCATATACACTCATAAAAAAGGTTTTGACAGATGATGTAAAGCTTTTAAATTGGGTCATGTTAGGTCATTTTGAAAAATTATCTAGGCGGGTTTTTTTTTTATCAAATTTAAATTTTTAATGAATAATAAAAAATAAAAATGTTGAGTCATAATAAACCACTACCGTACCTGACAGCTGACTGATTGATGTCATTGTTGCATGCACACCTTTCATTTATTTGATATCCAATGTCTATGTACAGTCCTCAGCAATTCATAAGAAACAGTTCCTGCTTTCTCATCCCAGAGCACTACAAAGAGATTCCCATAGATTTGCCACCTGAGGCAAGATTAAGAAAACTATTTGAGGCTTGTCTCAAGGTAAGAAAAACTTTTCCTGTCAGTGACACGTATAATATGTTTAAACAACTAAAGACTCTGAAAAGTAATCCCCAAAACTGTCAATGTTGCTTCTATCCAGCAACAGCCCCTAAAATGTGTGAGTACTAATGGTTACTTTTAAAAAACAGCTATTAACAAGGGTAACTCTCAAGCGAATTTTTTTGTTAAAATTGTTGAAAACTTAAGTTGCTGTTGCTGGCGCTGATTTTTGTGTACTCTTTTGTGTCTCTATTTTAAGTACTATTAAAAAAGTAATTAATTTTTACATTGAAGGGTTTAACCTTTTTTTCTTCAATTATATTAGGATGCAGTAGAGAAATTGGATAGTAATTTGTCTGAATGCAGTGTTGATGGAATTCCTAACTTTGCTGACGAAGGTAGATATAATGCAGGATCCTGAGACTCTTAACCCCTAACTCCATTTAAAACACAAATTTCTCACGTTCTTGCTGATTAAGTGTGGATTCAGACTTTATTCTCCTGTTACAGTAAGACCTTTAATCTCAAAGCTAATTTCCTCTGTAGGACAAGAATAGAATACAGATGGAGTACAGGCATCACTCTCACAGTATATTGAGAGCATTTGCTTTTTTATGAGGTTTTTAGACCAGAAGATATGGTTATCCTGTAAGAATGATATCTGGGCATGTAGAAAAAATGCTCTGACTGTTTAAGACACTCTTGTACAATATTTTTTTGATCATCTCCAGTAATGTGTACTACTGATTGTAGCTTCAGTGCTACCAGGCTACTTTCAAAAAATGCATGTTCAGCATAAACAAAATCTGCCTGTACTGTTGAAATGAATTTAATGGCATAATTTTTTTTTTAATTTTTTGAAGCAAAGGAAGTTTTCACCCATTTGCAAGCCCTGATATCAGAAAGTGATATAATAGACGAGGCTTTTAAACCACCCAATAGTGACGTAAAGTAAGTGGCAGTAACATGTATTGTTGTTAGTTGCTGTGTAACATTGGTTGCCAGGGTGGTACTCCCTATAATGACATATACGGGGAAGCTCCGCCCGAAAGGGGTATCTTTTTCAGGCTTCAGGAAAATGAAAGGGTAGGGATTTCACGAGTTGAAGTATATAAAAGGGTGGGGAAATCTGTCATTTGGGTCTGTAAAAGCGCCTAAAAGGGCTAACAGATGAATTTTATGGCTTAAAAAAGTCACGAAAACGTACTATTTTGTGATTGATTCCTATTTAAAAGACAGTGCATTTACAGCAGTTAAAAGGGATGCAAAGTTCTAAACAAGGTATATATGGGGAGCAAGGGTGGCGCAGTGGTGAGAGCACTCGTCTCCCACCAGTGTGGCCCGGGTTCAAATCCCGACGTCTAAGCCATATGTGGGTTGAGTTTGTTGTTGGTTCTTCCCCTTGCTCCGAGAGGTTTTTCTCCGGTTACTCCAGTTTTCCCCTCTCCTCAACAACCAACATTTCCAAATTTCAATTCGACCAGGGATCAGGTAGATAAAGAACCACTGTGTGGATGTGCTACCTACCACTTGTCAATAGAAGATAAACGAAAGTGGTACCTTTTGCATGAAAAATGATATATAAAAGGGTAGGGGGTTGGACCTTGGGGTGGAGCCTCCCCGTGTAAACATTTGTTGAGTACTCCCCCCCCCTCCCTAGGGCATTGGTTTTCCTGTGTAAATGTTTTTTTCTTGTCATTGAGTTTTACTGTTGTGCCTACTTTTTCCACCCACCATACACATGCCCACAAATTGACATGCACCAGAGAGACATCTGGAAACAAGGCAGCTCCTGGATATTAGGCTTAGTTCAAGGATTGTATTGAAGAAAATTGCTGTTATTTGTTTTTATCCTCCATACAACATCCTATTACAAAATGTCATATTGTGGTCAAGAAAGTGACAGCAAATAAATGTACCAAACTTTTTAATTCATGTGCAGTAGAGTTGTTGTTTTGATTATAAAATCTACTGCTTGTTTGACTTTCCTGATGTGTCATTATTGTTATGGCTTGCAGTAGCGGCCAATTTTTATCATTTTTAATAGCACTTTGGAAAGATGTGAAATAAAAGACTGTATGGTATTTACGCACTCGTTTTTGTATCAGAAATTTCACTCGTCGGATTTCTGATACGTCAACATATCGTGCGTACAGCTGTTAATACTGTATGCGCGCACTTTCCATGAAGTATTTTATATCTACTTTTTTGTTCATACAGGCAAATTCCCAACCCCAAAAATCAGGAACTGGAAGCAAAGCTAACATCATGTTTGGCTGTCACAGAAAGGTGTGTTTGTATGAGTCAGTAAAACGTGCGTGTTTAACCCTTTAAGACCCGAGAGTGACGAAAATCAATTTTCTTCTAATGATATCAATACATAATCAAGAGAAAATGTTGTGAGAATATATAAAGTAATCACTTTATGGAATACGATGTGATCTTCAAACAAATTCTCCCAACTAATTCATCGAGGAAATGTATGGAGATCAGTCTTGAGAATTTGTATTTGGATTTAAGGGGTTAAAATATTTCCGGTCACAGGTGGGTGTAGTCCCTACCCAGACGTTTTTTTGTGCCTTCTTGCAACACTCCTAGGAGGGTTCACTGAGGGTTGCACGACGACTCAAAAAACGGCTGGGTAGGAGACTTAGTTACAGGTGATTAACTTATATTTAGTAAAAAGCAGTACAAAAGTTTGAGGACTACAGCCTGTAGCTCCGTCTGTAGAGCGCTTTACTGCAGAGCGAAATGTCGCAGGTTCGATTTCCGGGTCCGGACTACATGTAATACTCGGGGTCTTAAAATAATTGAGAAATGAAGGTACTTCCTTTGCTCTGCAAATGAATGAGACGTAAAAATAATGTCCTTTTATTACTAGTAATAGTTGAAACTAAAGCTGACCCCGCTCTGTATGTTGTCAGTCAATTGTATTCTTGGTCTTGGTGTAGCTCTTTGAAATATACAGATTCATTAAATATTTCCACGCATTATACATACAATAGGTGAGATAAAAGCAGAAATGGAAGATTCCATGCACTGATTCTGGTCAATTTACGCAGCTTTGATCAAAACACTCTCGGCGTTTCGACAATTTTTTTTTAACTAAGACGATACTTAAGACATTACTTTGTTTGAAAAAAGCTTTACGGAGGGTCATCTGTGAAAAAGGAATACATCAGTACAGAATTTTAACCTCATTTAATTGTGGACGAATTTCTGTAATCGTCTACCTTTGACAGTCTACATTTTCGCGGTGCCAGCTGCCGTGCGAAAAGGACTACTACGCACTTAACCCATACCGCGAAAATGTAGCCTCTTCCCGAAGAGTATAGTAATCTTCCATCGTGCCCAAATAAACTAGCTTGATTCACTCTATCCTGTCTAGCAAGCATTTCCGTGCGGTTTAGGGGCAAAGAACGAGGAACGAGAGTCAAAGACCGCGCGAAAAATGGCGTAAGTGAAAGAGCCCCTCCCCCCACTTTCATTTTTTGGCTCTTGTTTCATTTCTCGCGCGGCCAAAACCCGAGAATCCCGTTCCTCGGCCTTTCTTTGCTACGAAACCAAACGGAAACGCTTGCTACGCAGGCTAGTCTACAACTCGTCAATGGGACTTCAAAATCCAATGCTTCGGACGCCAGTGCGCTGAGTTTTTCCCGACTTTTTAAGGGCTCAAAACATTGTTCGAGTTATGAAGGGTAAAATTATATAGAAATGATCTGAGGGTAAACAAAAATTACTTCGAGTTAGCGGGAGGTTCGAGTTTACGAGGGTTCGAGTTACCGAGGGTAACATCACAGTAAATATATGAAGGAAATCCAGGGGAAATCGATTTTGGTTCGAGTTAGCGAGAGTTCGAGTTATCGGTAGTCAACTGTAGTTTAACTGTAAGTACTTTCCTTTATATACGGGCGAACTACTAGGATGCCTCCTCGGGATTTCGCCCTGAAGGCGAAATCCCTGCGGGGGCAAGAAGTACTTTCGTGCTAAATACACAAATTTTTTCACACCTGTCTCATACACGAATCGTTGTCTAAATCACTGTTCGGTTTATTAAAGGCACAGCTCAAGCTTTTTAGTTTATTTTCTCGTAAAATTACAACCATGGAAGCTTGGTAAATGTAACGTCTTCTCAGTAGCCTCGTCTTTTTTATACACAAGTATTATAACAGATGCGGCTAATCGAGTGAATCAATGACATGCGGAAGGGAGTACGTGTAGCCTATGCTAAACGCGGGAAGGTGAAACGCGTGTGCGCAACTTACAGTTTTACTTCTAATTGATTGACAAAGTGTCGCGAGATTTTTTTAGCTAAATGCAAATCATTGCAAAACCCGTAAAAACCCCTTGAATGTATTATTTCATGTGTTGCTTTTGCTAGATTGAAGACAGAAAACGAAAAATGGGATAAACTGCTTTCATTCCATCAAGAACAAGTGGCAAAGAAAGAAAGGTACAGTAATACGATTTTCCTTTATGTCTTAATTAATATTTTCTTTTTACCTTGAGTAGTTTCCATCCATGCGTTTCGGGTATAGGAGACAGCATTGTTTAAAACATTTTTTTGTTATTCAACGAGTGAAACAATGAAACAATCTTTTATTACAAGAACCCATGCGTGTCTGGTTGACAATTATCAATAGGTGACATCAGCGTGAGTATCGCTATAGAATGGCAAGTTAGAGGAGTCAGGTATAGCTTATTCTCTATTGCATCTTTTCCTTTTTTTCATCAGTATACTTGTACTTTCTTCTTTAAAACAGACGACAAGACGAAGATTTCAAAGCCACTGACCAGTGTCCAGACTTCCTCTCTCCTGAGCAGCACCAATTGCTTTCTGGGAAGCCATCAATGAAAGGTTTCACGGAGAGGCTTAGCACAATGAAACAAGAGACAGTGACACAGGTCTGACAAACCTACATTGTACGCCGTGATTTCAAAGGATCTTTTTTAACCCCGAAATAGAACTTTTTATCGATACGGCGGCCATATTTAATTAATTAGATTTAAGGAGTCTTATGGGATGCTCGTGGGGCATGAGCACGATCCGATATACTCGCATTAGTATTTACGCGCGCTTTTCGGGCCAATTTTTCTCTAAGTTTTCCCTAGACGAAGATTGTAATGGGAAAAACTATCCTTGTACCGTGTTTGGATGTAACAATGATCACCTTTTTGCCGAGAAATAAACAGTGAAGTTCTCTTTTTGCCCGAAAAGCACGCGTAAATGCTGAGCGAGTGCCCCCTGGGCATCCCATAATACTCCTTAAATCTAATAAATTCAATATGGCCGCCATATCGGTAAAGAGGTCTATTGGAAACTTTCGGTGCTCAAAATGCGATCGGTTATTTTGGAGTCCAACTTGGCTACCCCAAATAAGGACCAAAATTTATTCTGCGTGGCAGGCGCCGGTTAATTTTTTGGTTGGTTTTATTTAGAGCGCGTGCGTCCTCGAAATTTCTTTCTTCGCCCTTAAAATACTGGCGCCTGCTACGCAGGCTAATTAAAGTTCTCTACTCCGTAAGCTACAGGGAAAATAGTTACAAGCTTTCGGCGCGATGATTTCTGGGAGTGTTTGGGTGGACATTTGCAAGTTACTTGTTGCGTTTGGACACCATCGAGCGATTACAAAGCTTGTCCACCGAATAGATAACAGGAATCTTTGTGCAGAAAGCTCTAAACTGAGCTTTTCTTCTTTTAACCGATTGTGTTTCAGGTTAATACAATGGCACAAGCAATATCTGTGGTCAGGCAGTACGAAGAGACAGCCAAAGTCTTCGTTGATAACCAAGTTAAAACATTTTGTAAGTAAAATAATGAATTGTAACGAGGAAAGTACTAGGACGTTCACGACTATCAGAATGAAGGCAAGCGAGTCTTAGGGCGCTTACCATTTGTCAGAACTGGCCGAATCCAGTCGTGAACAGATTTCCTGCCTCGCGTCTCGGTCTATATATCCACCGCTATTCACCTCCCCTTCGGGGGATAGTTGTATCTTATCCAGTTAGGTAAGTCTATTTCTAAAAGTTATTATGATAGTGATCGGTTTTGGCGGAAATTTCGAGGGAAGACTGATATTTTACTTTCAAAATGACTGGTCTGAACGCCCAGTTCTGACTTTTGGTAAGCTCCTCAGTTTCCAGCCGTGTGCTGTGGCTTTGCAGTAAGAGGCCGTGCAAACGAGTGTCTGAAACTTGGTAAAAATCGAATTAAGGGTTTTTTGAACGGTCGCAAAAGCTTAACCATGTATGTATTTATTATTGTTTTAACCCTTGACTTAAATTGTAAGACTTGAAAATACTCGTTAACCATTTTATTTCCTTGTCGAGTTTTCCGTGTCTCGCCCAAATCACTATATTCCAGATATAAAATATATGCGCTTGGCCTTTTTTTTCTTATTTTGTATGTTATGATTGGCAATCTGTTCTCTATGTTTTATTTCTTCTGTGATTGGCAATCCTTTAACCGCCGCTACATTTGGTGAACAAAGACCTACTTTTTTTTTAGTTTCTAACACTGATTTGCCTTTTTTCTCTCTCTCTCTCTCTTTAATTCTCAGCTAATACAACGTTTGAAGGTACAAACCAAGTTGGAACGCCGAGAACAGTTATTCCAAGGCTGCTGATGAAACTTTTTTAACTTCTTTACCTTCAATATTGGATAGAGTCTTTCCTACCCATCATATTTTTGTAACTGCTCTTTTATACATTTCTGTAGTATAATCTCGTGGTGTGTAGAAAGCGGAAAAAAAGGAGCTTTTGCTTCGAGGACTAGAGTCAGTAGAGTCAACATACCAGAAGCCGTGAGGCATGATCTTAACATCCTTTAAAGAGACTCTAAGATACCTTACTGGCACTAATTTTCGCTGGACTTGAGTAATGCGATTTTCGCGGTTGCAAAAAAATCGCAAAATTAAAGTCCCGTGTAAAAGGCAACCGCGAAAATTAGCGACGCGAAACTTAATGCCTTGTAGTACAAGTTTGTTATCAATCTAAGACTCGTTTGAAGACTTTGATAAGCTAATTGGTTTGTAGGCAGACATATCGTAAATTCTGGACTGCACTGGAAAGTAGGTTATAACGTTATGCTTTGTCAAAACGAAATCTTCATTTCTCCATTGTGAAAATGAGTCAAAGTAGATCACTTTTTTATCGAGAAAGCTAGTTCTCTTTAATACGTTTTTATTTTCACGAATCGCGACAGTTTGAGAAAGGTTCGCATTCATGGCCAACGCAAGAGTACCTTTCCTCTGTTTTGCAGTCTGTGCGAATTGTCGTGGCTTCGGATTCAGGTTCAAAATATAAGTACTTTAAGGATTCTGCCCAGGTAGGAATGAGCTGTTGTATAAATTCCGCATCTGAGATTAAATCGAGCACTGATATTGTTGCGACATGACATGGGATGGTTTAATTTCATTGTGTAAACATTGTCTTGTATATCACTCTCTATGCATAAAAAAATCCTATAAACAAGGATCCTCGAAGACAAATCTACAAAACTACAAAAGACGTCAGTTTAATGATAATTGTAAGGCCCGTATGTTTGGGCCAGTGGAACGACTGTCAGGAGTGGGGTAAAGATTTTGCAGGGAGGATGAGGGGATGGGTGAGGGTCAAGATGAGTTACTTTAATGAACGTGAACGCCTATCTAGACTTACAGTAGTTGTAGTCGATATTTTGAAAAACGTGAATGCAAAAGGTACTTAGAAAACACTATGTAGTAGCAAAATAAGGGAGCTTCTCTCGCAGACCGCAGACGTTCCTTTTAATTATAAGACTCGCTCTATTTCAGCCTCGCTCCAGACCTTTTGTTTGACTGTTCGCGCGTACTTGAATAGGTAAGAATACGGACTGTTTTGCAGTCTACCCAAATCTACTTCCAGTACCAAACTCACATATTTTTCTGTACTAGAAAAGCTTGGGCAATTTAACCCTAAATAATAACAATCTAAAGCTGTACCCTGACTTATGTAGACCTTTCTCGTGTTACTGAAAACAAAGGCACCAACTTGAGGCTTGAGTTGACAAAATACATTTGTGTCATAGTTACAAGATTGGAATGGTTATGAATCCCGTCAGATTCCCTTGTGATATGTTTTCGTCCACCTGACGGTGCACAACGTTCAATAGCATTCTTTTGATCTTATTGACCAATGAAAACGTCGCATTGATTTATTCAGTCACAATTCGTGAACAAAAAACAAAGGATTTCAGTTTGAATTGAAATATTTGAAATGAATCATACAAAGGATTGTGCTCCGTCAGGGAGTTTCCAACAGAAACTTGAGCACCGGTTGTTTTTATCTTTGATATTTGCTGCCTTCAACAAGATTCCTTTACTGTGTTTGCATGAAGCCTCAAACTTGCTTCGTTGTGTGTTTTGAAGCGGAAAGTTCGTTTTCACTCCGTTAAAACCAGTATTCAACTAATAATACGTGGTCAGAAAAGCCCCTTTTCGTAAGAATCTTCCCTAGTGGCATCACAATAAAAAATAATAGCCGTACAAGAGGATAATAACTCCCAAGAGGAGAACTGGGTATACTCATATGACGACTGTCTGTCAGTCTTATTCTTACCGACTGCATTCGTTTTGTTTAGCATCAAAAGCCAAACAAAGTGGTAATTACAAAAAAATCTACAAGTGGATGCAAAAACTTTCAAGGTTTGGTAATAAATTACAAATATCAGTTCCACCCTTTCATCGCGCGCAACGTGGAGGGGAATGGGTACCAACCAGGTGAAGAGTGTGACGTCAGGTATGTATAGCGCCGGCGCTATTTTCCCAAGGTGCACCAAGTCGTGTTCGATTTTAGGGGTTTGTCGGTGTCAAACAATTTCAGCATAGGGGTCATCGTAAGTCTCAGTCAGGTGCTTGTGTTCTGTATGGTTTGTCTTGTGTTTTTTCGATTGTATTTGTCGTACAAAGTAGTCGGCAAACATCTGTAAGAGAAACAGAAGTCAGTTGAGTAACTGTTGCAAAGTAGACGGGGTCATGAGATCCGCGCGCTATGCTTGATCTAAATTCTAACTGAAATGTTTTCATTAAGTAGGGTATAGTCATAATTAATGATAATTTATTTTGTGGTAATTTTGTTTAACATCTGATCGAGTGAGTGAATGTCATTGGGCTGCCCTCCAAAATTCACCGGAATGATTTAATTGTGCGTTCCTTGAGAATAATCCGGATCAAGATTCATTTTGCAGGATCTCTCGGATCATGGTTCACCGATAAAACCCATCCGAACAAGGATTCATCGGAACCGCTGATGCACCATGAATCGAGTGATCTTGGGTCATAAATCATGATCCGGATCTTAGATAAAAAATCTAAAAGGTCTAAGTTAAAGAAGGCGCATCATCATTCAATAGCCATTTAATAGCCCACATTCGATATATTAAAATTCTAACATGATTCCGAGGCTTTCTGGTCATTTTTTTCTACATTTGGTTTTGTTTTTTTGGGCTAAAATCTCTTCTGGGAATTGCAAGGCAATGGAGTAGTGAAAAGTTTGCAATTTCGTCCTTGCAGCCTCGGAGTTGTGTTAGAGTTTTAATATATCTAACGTGGGCTATAAGCTTTCTCTCTCTTTGACCAGTAAATAAGCCTACCGAGAATTTTCACGTGAAGTCACATTGGCCATATTTGTGTACCAGTGTTGATTTCTTTTCTCATGCAAGCAATTTCAACACCCAACATCATCCAGACCAGGAGAAAAATTTCAGTGGTCGCACGTCAACAAAGTCCCAGGGTTCCTCAGAATGGATACTCTACCATTAGATTGGGGGGTTGTATTTCACAGGAGGTAGCCTGCGAGTAAGCTCTCCATTTTACACTTTCCCGTGCTACTCTGATCTCGCGTGGCTTCTCGTGACTCCCCCAAATGTGGAGCTTGCTCGCAGGTTCAGAGAGCTTATTCCCAATATAGGCCCTAGGAAATCCCCCTAAGTTATTTTATTAACAAAACGTAAATCTTTGAGTACATAGAGACAAATTAGTTAGTTTTTTTAGGTTTGAGATCTCGGTGACAAGGTCTTTCAGATACTGTCATCAGATATTCCATAACAACAAAAACGAAATGTGGCGCTTAATCAAAATATTTCCGTCGAAAATGACATCATAAGACATAAACACAATTTTAGAAAACGACGAATTCAACACTCTTTAGAAAACGCACGGTTATTGCATTGACACTCAAAAAGTTTGTTTTTTTTTAAGTTTTCGCCGTGTCGATATCAATAACTTAGAAAGACTGCCTCAGGTTCAGTGAGACCTATAAGGGTGATAAGCTAAGTTATTCTTGATGGTCTCTCGGTGGTGTTAGGGGAACCTTCCCAGTCGCTAGTTTTTCGAAACGGTTCCGGATTCCAATCCCTTGGAGAAATTGTCGATTATCCATTCTACCCGCGATCTTGAACATGAATTTTCGATGCAAGGGTCGATTAAATTACCTTCATAAGGCGATTCTCAATAGACGCTGCTATATAAATATCTACGAAAATAGATTTCAAACTAAAATTCATCTTAAAACTTATTATTATTTACAATTTTAAGTACTCGATTAAGAAATTTGTCTTCACGTTATCGTAACATTATAAACTGCTCAACTTGCCCCAAAGTTACTTAGAGACTACTTCTGTGGTTGTCAAAATAAATCGGGATCTGATTTATAAGCATCCTTTAACAATCAGGAGCGTTGTGAGTCTTAAGTATGACAACTGTTGTATGAACAGCTAATCTGAACATTATAATAATGAACTGTTCTGCCTGATTTAAGGCATGAATAATAAATAATATTCTCTGATGTAGAACAAATTCAAACAATTTAAAAGCAACTTCGTTTTAACCGCGCTTCCTAGCACAAATGCTTAAAGGTTCAACTCGGATTTTTAAGTCAACCACAAGACTTAGAAGGTGACATCTCGTATGCCCGACTATATAAAGCCAAATTTCCAGAAATTTAGCCCGCAATTTTTCAGCCACATCATGCAAAATCTTCAAATGTCACAGTCCATATCGCAGGTTGACTTTAGATCTAGGAGGGGCTTTACGCGTGCGAAGCTAATCTGAAACTATTCCAGAATCAGATTACCTATGGAGCGTGCACGCGAACCTTAACTGCTCTCCGCCGCCTTCGGATGAAATAAACATACAAGGCGATGACAGCGAGAGCTATCGCGGAATAAAGAATTAGACACATGCTGGCGTCAATCGAACTCAGGCCGATAGCGCTAAGATGAGAGATAAAGTGACCCTTGCTTACAATGTCAGTGTCTTCCAGTTCAGGAGAGGAGCGGGCAGGAGGTTTCTTGATCCTAATGTTGTCCAGACCGTAGTGGTTCTTCAAGAACTCCAGGACCACGCCTTCGTTCCAGTGAATCTCGTCGCCAGTGCTGGTACCAGGGAGGCGACATTCTTCGCAGAGATCTTTCGACGGAAACTGAATCTTAGGATGTTTTGGATCTTCGCTGTTGTCACCAGCCAGACGTTTGTTCACCTTGTTGTGTCTACTCCACATCCACAGAATCGCGCTGTTGTGTGAATCCACCTCTGTTTTGAGATTCTTAGACATAGCCATGAAATGCTTTCTGCAGTAGTCGCAGCTAAAGAAGTATTTGATGTAATCTTGGATTCGTAAAAGGACATCTAGTCCCGTCAAACCACTGCTACGTCCGCAGTTGACAGTCAAGGTATGAAACAGAGTCCACAGACTGCACGGGTAACCACGATATTTAGGCTGGCTTCCCGCACAGGCCGCCCACTTTGCCTTACTGGGTAGAGGAGAATGAAAACCATCACTTGACTGACTTGACTTCAAATGCATCTAAAAACAAACAAAAATGAATACCTTGGCGTTAACGATGTTTTAAGCTGAAACGTTTGCACTAGCATCTGATAGGGAGCTCAAGCAACGACGGGCAACGGCAGCGAAACATCACTTGAAAAGCGAATTCACGCTATTTCAAATTTATCATGTTTCATTTCATAGAATTTGTTTAATACTTAAGAATAAAGATAAGCGAAAAAAGTTCAACACAACGTTTCGATGTCGTCATGACATCATTATCAAGTCACAACGATAAAAACTAAAACCTGATCTAATATATACGGTTTAAAGTGACAAAATAAACTAGTCTTTGACTCTGAAGATGACTACCGCACAGGTTGTCTAAACGTCAGTCACTGTCAACAACAACAGTCCTATTCAGGACTACGTTCACCGGGACGATCAAACTCAACCTACTTTTGAAATGACTCCTGGGTTCAAACCTTTCACAAAATAAACTAGATAACAAAAGTAACATGTTTGCAGGTGTAAATGAAAATATGTTAAACAAACAGTTTTGCCCGGAAAAACTGATATCTCCAAACTGATATCCATGCATTTCCTTTAAGAATGTGTTGAGAGAATTTGATAAACAAACAAGGCATTTTCTCTTTGGTGATCATTTTATTACTTCTCATTACCTAACCTCTTGTCCATGTATGGATATCATTAAGAGAAAATTGATTTTGGTCACTCTCAAGCCCTATAGGGTTAATATCTGGCTGTACTAATATACCCTAAACTTTTGAGTTACTTTCTCATCTCTCAGAAATTTACAATCAACAGTACCGTAGAAAAAACGAAAATGAGCAAATCAAAAGAAGAAAAGGGGCTACACGAAATTGGTTTCAAGCGCAGGAAAAAATGCAACGTATTTACCAGCGGAACTTGCTAATATTTAGAACGGCGATTAACTCTCTGTGAAAATGGAAAAAGTCTCTTGAAGAAAATTCCATCCTAAACAGTTCAGTCACAAAGGATAATGTCAAATTATGCATTAAGAGAAGAAAAATAACTTTAACAGAAATGTTTTAACGTTATCTCAAAGATGTCTTCATCAGTCGAGTGTTCCGTCTAGCTATTGGCCAGGTGAGATCGTAAATCACGCGACCAGTCATTCAATTTCATTTTCACATCATTTTATTTTAGCTCCGTACTTTTTTAACAATGGTATGTTGCCAGAGCAAGAAAACAATTTTTTCGCGTGAAGTCCTATATTAACTAGATAACTCATACCATACCTGAGCGTCCTTCAGATGGTACAAGTACTCCGATCTCAGCATTGTTTTTCGTGGCTGAGGTATTAGTTTCACACTCAACTTGCTGAATACTCCGCGAAGACTCGGTCTACCAGGAAAACACTGCAAAAATACCAATTGGTAACACAGGTTAGAAAATTATGATTTAATCCAGCTTTCCCCCACGACGGCTCTTTTTCCAAATGATGGAGAGACAGCAAGTTGTTATCTTGTGTTTTCATACCCATCCACCTGTATCACTATTGCAGGAGCCCATGAACCGAAGCGAACAACTCCCATACTGTGCCTAAGTCACGTTGCTTTCACGGACCGCTTTATTTCAGGTACATTTTAGAGCATTTTTCCCCGCGAAAATGGAAGCTCCGCTCCGTCTATGAGCGCTCGCATCCAAAGTATAAGAAATGAAATGACGAAAAATTAAACGTCATCAAAGGTCAATAATACCATTTTCAGGTCTGTAGTGTTGCTGACTATCTATCGGGCCTAAAAGGTGTTATAAATTTGCGCCAAGTATCGTTCTAAACATAAACCGGTCAGTAAAAACGCCGTGACGGCTTTCGAAGTAATGGCCAAAACAACTCCTCTTCTCCGTTTAAAAATAAAACTGAGAGTTTTTTTTTAACTGTTAGACAGTTGAGCCAACCATAAGACGGCTATCGGGAGACATGGCTGTTGTTCTCGTGACATTTACTTACAGTCAGGTAAAGCCTCTAGCCCTGTCCTATCGCTTATTGTTATTCTAAAATGCTGAACAGGAGTCTTTTTCATTGGTTACCATGAACGTGTGGCAGTACTCTTCATCGTGGGGTAGGTGGGTTAAACCAACAACAGACACTCACTCAACCTCTATCATGGCGTCAAGTGTGACACTTGAGGCCGTGATAGAGGTTGAGTGAAGTATCACATCTTAACAACTGTCATAATCACCTTTCCAAGCATGGCCACGAAGCTCTGGAGAGCTGTTAACTCGACTTTATGGAAAATTAATTTGCTGCCAACTTCAACGTTGAACATGTAGGACAGGCCACTTTCCAAGTCTTGCATGTACACCTCAGAGCTGGTGAGGATAGATACAGTAAGAGACAAGATGTATGTTAGTTAGAAAGGGAGGGTGGTGGTGGTGGTGATGGGAGGGGGGGGGGACACGGGTTAGTTTGTACTACCAGGGCCTTAAACGTTGGACCCCGTTTTAAAAATATTTTACATTGAAAGGGATACCCACTAGAAATGGTCAAAGTTTTAAGGTCCTGTTTAGCCTGGAAAAAATACTGTGGTGTCTTTACGGACTTAACCCAGGATGTTTCGATTTTCACCAGGATTTAACGACTAACACACACCATTGCTAACTCGTGCACACATTTATATTCTAATCCTCAGAAAAGTCAGAGCGCATGCTCGATTATACAAACATGGGGGGGGGGGGGGGGGGATCTAAATATTCACATATCCTACAAATACAGAATGTGTTTATCTTCAATTAATAAGATGTCGTTCCAGAAAAAAAAAGTTGACGTTTGTCAAATTCGTTTATCGTGTTACTATGAAAATTATTGGGTCTGCAACCGAGGTTGGCTAGTTTGGCAAGGGCCTGACAGCAAAGTATAGATATTCATTTATCCACTGACACTGCAATGCTTTCGTGCCACATTTTTTTTAAATACACCTCGTTCCAGGAAAAGTCTCGAATATGGAAATGTTATGGTTTAGTTGGTTTCATCCCTGGCTCAAATATTACAGTACTTTTCTTTGTTTGTTTGTACAGTAAGCTGGTAAGGTGTGATAAATTTTAAACAAAGGCGATAATGAACCACAACAAATTAACAATACTAAGATCGTGACCAAGTTGGGGAGAAGGGGCACATTCATGTGTACGTATTTTGAGTGCACACTCCCACCGGACCCCGCCACAGAAGCCATGACCAATAAGAGTGAACAGAACGTAAACAAATGAAATATTCATGTTTCTAATAAATTCACTCTGCGCAAAGGCTAAAATCCAAAAGTTCAAAGCAAAGCATGTTTTTTAATGCTTCGGCATAAAAAAGAAAAAAAATAGAAAAAATAACGCTGTATACCTGTTTAATTATCTCTATATAAGCTGTCGCCGTGTAATTAAATCTATAGTCATTTTGCAATTTTGAATTATTTGGAAAACGTCGATGTAACAGCTGGTATAGCCTGCGCAACAAGCGTTTCCGTGTGGTTCCGGAGCAAAGAAAGGCCGCGCAAAACATGGGTCGAGTAAAAGAGGGGGTCGGGGGGGGGGGGGGGGGGGAAAGGAAAAAAATGGTTCTTTTTTTCCCCCCCCCCCCCCTTTCTCTTTTTTTGGGTTTCTGTCCTTTTTCCCCCCCCGCCACCCCGAAAACCCCCTCCCCCCCCTTTTTCCCTTCCCACACAAACCCCCCGGACGCCTCCCCCGGTGGCCCCCCTAAAGGGGGGGGGGGGGGGGGGGGGGGGAGTGAAAGGAAAGAATCGTTTCTTTCTTTCCCCTCCCCCTCCCTTCTTCATTTTTTGGTTCTCGTTCCATTTTCCGCACGGCCACAACCGAAAATCCCGTTCCTCGCTCTTTCACTTTGCCCCGAAACGGCACGGAAGCGCTTACTACGGAGGCTACAGCTGGTATAAGACTCCAAATCAGAAATACTGCCTTGTCTTGTCTTGACTAACAGACTGACTGACCTGCTTCCAGCCTGTTGCTTTCTCTGATCCTCTTTGCCGTGACGTTTTTTGTACACATCCATAGCATCCTTGACAGCTGACAGTTCAGGGAAGGGCCTAACTACCTGACAAACCTCATCCAGTGCAGTCTTAAAACCGGAGTGAGTTTTTTCATCACTGTAAAGCATTAACAAGACAAAATCACTTTTAACTTTTCCCTAGTGAGTGCTAGTAGACAAGATAGGGACCTTAAGATCAGACGATGGGGACAGCAATGAGAACTCAGAATTCAGAATTCTCTTTCTCACCTTATGATTCAACTCTAGGAGAACTTCGCCTACGTTTAATGAAGCAAGTGAATTAGAATAATAGCGATGAAGACTGAGACAACGCGAATTCACTTTTGAAGCGACGTTTTTGTTATCGCAGTCGCCGTACTCGGATCATTTGAAACACACTACTACAAAATAAAAGAAACAAACGTACTGTGAAAGATGCCGAAATGTGCCTTTTCTGTGCACAAGAACAAGGGATGGAAACTTCTTTATCGCATATTTTTCCACAAGATCTTTCTAATAAGTAAGAACAAAAAAAATTCTACCGTTAGACAAGCTTTCATGTAAATAAAAGATCACCAAAAAAAATCGTTAAAAAAGCTAATGAGTAGCCTGCGAGCAACCTCTCCTATTTGGGCAAGCGACGCGAGCCTCTCTAAAAAGCCGCTCGCTCGCGCGTTCTCGCGAGACTCGTTTCATTCGCCCAAATAGGAGAGCTTGCTCGCAGGCTAGCTAATGAGGTTCCAGTCCTAGATTATCTAGCGTGGCTGACTGAGTCTTAGATTAAGTCTAGTGTAACATTCATTCCACAATGTGTAGCATGGTCAGGTCATGCCACTTTTTACTAAAGTAGTGTACTAGGGAATCTTCATTTTTCTGTGAATAGATCCTTTTAACAAACACAACGCAAGTTTATTATCTGTTAAGTAAATAGAATCAAGTTGTACTTACATTTTTATTTAATACTCTTCTGACTCCCAAGCGAGGGCATTGTATAAAATCTAAGATGACCTGAAAAAGTTGATAAATAATGTTTACTAAATGAAAAATGTTCTCATTTTCAACAAGTTTTTAGTAACAATGATTCACACCTCAACTGCTCACCCCGGGGCGGTTACTCCGGATTTCAAGTGACAGGGATAATCAAATGGGGGCAAAAATCAAACCCCAAAAAAATTCCTGGACCAAAATTTGACCCCCAAAAAATCCCATGAAGAATTTCCGAGCCATAAAAATTTCCAGAGGAACTACGCGGCCGGGATACGCGGGAATTATCACGAATCTTCAGACTGTTTAGAATACCCAAAAAAATCCCTTCTTAAATCAAGCTACCCAAAAATCACTTGCGGAAATTTTCCTAACAAAATTGAAAATTTCAAACCCCAAAAAATCCTTCGATCATCACTGTCACTTGAAATCCGGAGTTCCCCCTGCCCCTGGGCTGCTTACCACCATCGGAGTCTTCTTCGCAGCCGTTATAGTCTCGTCACGAACGCTCCACCTTTGTTTGGGAGAAGCGCTGCGTGACGAGACAACCACACAACCACCAGTTTACCAGCTTCTTGTGACATCATGCGCATGCCCAAAATAAGGGCGCTTACTAAAAGTCTTAAACTAAAAGTCACGACTGGCCAGCCACCGTGACCAGTTATTGTGAAAGTAAAATAGTAGTCTTTTCTCGAAATTTTCCCTTAAACCCACCACTACCGAACATACTATTCAAGAACAGACTGATCTGACTGGATAGTCCTTATTAATAGTGGAATTCTCCTTACAGCTAGACTGGATTGGACGACCAGTTCTTACAAATGGAAAGCTTCCTTAGAAAGCTGTCATTTGGCAACTTGTAAACAACTTTTTGGGTTATTTTGCTTCTTTTTGGCCAGATGGTCACCAGAAAATGGCTTGACTAATGTAGCTTCACATGGCGTTTTATAGCAAAATCTCAGGAGTGGATAAATTTGTCAATGACTCAAGAAATGTAAACAAAACAGCAAAGAGAACATGCAAGCAGATATTAGGGTTATAAGGCTAAATTATACAAGTCATGTTGGAAGCGCGTCGTTTACCGTTTAGTCGCCTCTCCGACTCCAAACATTGCATTTCAATTAATGGATTTTAATCTTTGATTTCGTCCAACATTTTTCATCCCAAACAACGTTTCCACTTAATCACCCATGTTCTATGCATGACGAATATGATGTTGGACAAGAATTTCTGATCGTTTAGCCAGGGCTTTAGCAGTCACAACATGTAAACTATATGTGTTATGCCTGAGACAAGCATCTTCAACTTACCTCACGGCCAATGTATGACGTTGGTACCTCGAAAATTAGTGCTAACTCATCATAATTTTCTGATGTTCTGCGACTTCTGCCTTCTATAAAACTAGAGACAAACTCTTTCCTAAACAAAAAGATAAACGGAAATGTCAGGTTTTAGTATTACAATGTCCACGTTCAACAACCTGTATTTAAGGGGTAATTAATCCTAATTTCAAGTACTGGAAAACTATGCAATAATGAAGATGGTAAAAAGTAACTTTTACTTGTTCAATAAAGAGGAGAAGTGTGGCTTCATGTTACCATTGTAGCGAAATTTCTGAATCTCAACAATTTTTCTTGACAGAGAAGGCAAGTTGCATTTTCGAGTGATTAGCTACAGGCTATGAGCTACTGTTTTGTTGCTGAGTCGGAGTGAAATAATTCTGCCATATGTGCAGGATCATGGTTAATTTTGCAACCATGGTATACTGTTGTTTCACGTTTTGAGGATCAGGCCATGTCCCATTTTATGTCATCTGTCGCCATTTTATCTAGTCTATCTAGTCTTATGTTGTTGTTTCAAGGCCATGTTAACAGGGTCTCATCATATTAATACTATAAAATATTATTTTATAATTATTCCATGTGACTATCTTCAAAACAACTGATTAATAATTTAATATTTGTTTGAGTTTGTGAACTAAGAGTAACAAAATTCTCTCTAAGTATTTTTAAATTAAAAAATTGACTCTCCAGAAAAACCCTCTTACCCTACTGGTATAAAATCCACATCTGCACGCACCAAGCCAAGGTTTTTCTGTAGTTCTGCAACCTTGACCATTTTATGAAGAAGGTTTAATAAAGTCTTCTCTCCTGATTGATTGAATAACAACATTTATTATATACCGGTAAACACCAATGAAATACAAGGTGCGCTTTTATGCATGAAAGCACAATATCTTCACAAGTAAAAGTAACATGTTATCTTCACCTGTGGAAAGGTCACTCTTGCTATGACTACATAATAAATCACATCCTTTAGTAGCAAAAAAAATTATTCAAGTGAAATGGTTTGGTATTTCATTGGTGATTATATAATAAAATAATAGAACATTACATGGCAGCAAACAAGAGATAGGAAACATGTGTACATGTAAGACTTCTGAAAACAGCATACCTGGAAATTTTTCACCTAAATTAGAACTTGGAGAAGATGCATTGAAAAACTGTTTGAAAGAAAAAAAAAATGTAACAATAATAAATATTAATGATGGTTCAGTCACTAGACCTCTACCATTTAGCTCATTATGCTGGGAAAGCAATATAAATTTACATGGCCACTTGCCCAGGGACAGGTTTTGTCAAAATCAATCATCAGCTGATAGCCAGGAAAACGCCCATACTGTAAATAATTATTTACAGTTGTATTTTTGCCTAAAAAAAAATGCAGATTGTCAAAGGGATGTACAGTCGAATCCTGGTAAATCGAACCCTCTATAACTCGAACCTCCCGCTAACTTGAAGCAACTTACATTTCCCTTCAGATCACTTTCTATATAACTTTACCCTCGATAACTTGAACTCTCGGTAACTCAAACTATTTTCTCTTTCCCTTGAAGGTTCAAATTTTTGGGAGTCGACTGTATGTGCAAGGCAGCCTTATTTTGTTTTTGTCATTTTCTTTTTCATTTGACAATGTTATTGCTTTGAGGCATTTTAATATACTTGAAGAGTGTAGCTTTCAAAAGTAAACATTTTTAAATAAAAATGTAGGCACATTTTTGTATGTATTTTACTTAAAGGAGAGGTAGCCATGCAACTATAAATGTTTTTTCACGATGTATTTAACAAGAGCCCACGTCTCTCTAGTCTCCTTCATAGCTGTGATGGCCAGAGTCTTGTAACACTCCCTGTCCAGAGAGTATTGAGTGACTCCACCCCCAAGTGGCTGCGAAGGAGACTCATTTGCTCTTAGCTGCTTTAGCAGTAAAGTACATTTTTATCTTCGTCCAGTATGCCAATATATTAAAGACTCATTTTTAGAATTACTTCAAGTAAATTATCATTGGAGTAATTTAAGTATTATTTCTAGGGTTGCAGAAGGAATCTTAAAAGCCTCTCATAAGAGATGTCTGGGCGTTTTCCAGACCAAACTTGTCCCTGGGCAAGTGACCATGTAAAAATTGCTTTCCCAGCATAATGAGCTAGATGGTAGAGATTTAGTGACTGAACTAATACTAATATCGCTCAGTATAAAACACGGACTGTGGACTGTGGGCTATGGACTGGGTATAAAATACAGACCAGGTGTAAAACACAGACTGGAAAATACGGACTGGGTATAAAACATGGTAAAAACTGTGCTAATTGGTTCTAGGTAAGGAAAAATAAGATAAAGGGATCAAGACTCGTGAGTTTAAGTTATGAAAACTCCTTGATATTCTTGGTGGAGGTGTACCGCCCAGTTCTCCAAATCCTTAACCTGCAATCAGGTGTCTTTCTGAACCTGAGCAAAATGCTATTTTCTACACCCATTTTTAGACCTAGCCTCAGTCTCTTATATTCAATGAAAGGGGCCACAAATGCAATGTACATGTTTACATAGGTGCAGTCATCGCTTATGGGGCGTAGCCAGCCCAGGCCATCAAATTTGTGGTTTGATCACTCTATGCATTGTTGGGGTGAGCTAAAAAGCTTAAGAGCAGAAAGTGTTGGCGAGGTCAGTAGTGCATTTTATACCTACTGGTAGTCCGTGTTTTATACCCAGTCTGTAGTCCATGGTCCGCAGTCTGCAGTCTGCAATCCACAGTCCGCAGTCCACGTTTTACACTAATACTAATATTAATTTTATTACAGAAACAAGATTATGTTCTCCCACTCCCAAAGTTAATTGATGCGTGATTGATAGATTAAACTGGAGACGCTAGACAAGCTTGGAAAATCCATGCACTTTTGATAATAACATTACCAATGCAAAATAGCTACAAGACTAGTAAACAAAAGAAGACAATGGAATTCTACTACCTATTTCATGGGTTAAGTAAAATCACTCTAATAACTGTGGGAAACTCAACTGACTGAATTAAGATCTAATGAGGTTAAACTTGAAAGATGACATCTCTGAAAGTAATGTACTTTTCTAAAAAAATGTTGCCAAGTTGCTCTCACCTTTACTGTAGGATAACCTTCTATTTCATAATTTATACATGTCTGGAGATTACGCTCTTCAGCACAGTCAATAGCGCCAACATGTATGAGCTTTCTCCAGTCTGAAATAAATGAATTTTAATCAGAGCTATTTTTTAATATTGGAGTGCATAGAAAATAATAATAAAAAATAACATACAACCGGCCATGCAATGAAGTGCTCTAGGAAGGCAAACTACACTATTCTCAACATCTTTATCTTCTGGGTAAGTGAAAACCTGTTTTGATAACGAAGACCCTACTATAACAAACAATTTTTTCAGTACTATGGTACTTTCCAGATTTAGGAAATAATTTAGAAAATTGAACTTTTCTGAGTATATTTCTAATAATAGTAACTGTTGTAAACTCTGCAGTGAACAGACAATAATTTATTTTTATCTTATTATTATTATTTTTTAACTTTAAGTATTACAGTATCATAATGATCTACTTTCTGATGTATTTTATTGAGGGTGTAGATTTTATTGTAAATACTAATTTTTAGCATTTTTTTTCTAAATCGTTTAGTCTATTTACTGTCCCCAACTAATCCCTTTGGGCTAATTAGCCATTCTTGTCATTCAATTACCAATATTTTTATATATATTTATAATTCTAACTCCTTACAGTCCCGCCCACAGTTTTTCACATTTTTATTAGACTATATAACTTTTTAAATTCATTCAGGTACAACACTGAAGCCAAAACTTCAACTTCTCAATGGCTGTTAGATGTGTATCTCAAGTTACACCATTCAAAAGTAACACCTCACAGCTTGTGGGCTTATTCAAGTTGCCCTGATCTTTCTTGTGGATAACCAGATGCTACAATTCAGACATAACACTTAAACTCAGAATCATTTTTGCAGCAGTAAAGGTGTATTAAACAAGTTGCAAATGGAAAAAGACAAAACAAATTCATGGTACATGTAGGCATGTAAGGTGAGACAGGATGAAATGAAGCTAAGAAAGAGGAGAAAAGAAGACCCAGTGAAAAACAAATGGAAGCCAGGAGGATAGATCATTGATCTCCTGGACATTTTTTTTAGACTGAACCTGCAGGGAAATAAAAAACCTGACAGCAATATTCACCCCACCTCTCTCCCCCAAAAATTAAAATATTAGGCACCATGAGGAGAGGGAAAGAAGAGAACAAGCTGATTAAAAATTCCCCCTTCCCACTCCTCTTTCATGATCTTGTGGCTTGTGGCTTGTGGTGCATTCTAGTGGTTTCATGGTCAAAAGATATTCAATTCAATTCATGGTCAAAAGATATTCTTGAAAGTCAGTTCTAACACAATTTACCTTAAAATGACATTTTGTGTTTAGGATATTGCACTACAAAATTTCTTATAACCACATTATTGACGCATTTGGAATGCCTAATCTTTTTATCTAAACATTAAAAGAGGACTACCGTGCTGTGTTATTAATTATCAACATATTCTGCTTTAATTCTATGTAGCTTAGCTGAGTTGATTATCAGAATCAAAGAAAAAAAGAAAAAAAAAGAATGGCTAGATAATCAACAAAAGAAAACGACAACCCAAGATTAAGCTTAAATTAGATGCGGAAGAAATGTGATCGTTACAAATGCCAGGTGTTTCCACTCGATTTCACGCTCGGCAATTTTTTGTTTACATCTTGGTTGTGAGACTTACACGTCAGCCATTGCTTAACAATATTGAACCATGGGTTCAGAGTTGAAATCTCCATGACACAGCTAAGCAAAGCATGTCAAGACACACGAATCTTGATGACATTTTAATTGTTCCGCTTCATATTGCTCTCTTCGTCTCTCATGTTATGATTAATTGATGTGGTAAAAACGAAAAAGGAACACGACCTATCTGACGTTACAAGACTAAATATAGATCGTTTCAACCCACCACGACAAAAATTTAATTTTCCTGGCTTAACAAAGAAATGAAAAATTCTAGATAAATAAGATATAAAGCACTGGCCACTTTGTAGCTATGCTACATTGTACTTCATTAAAAATATATGTTACATTTAAACAAAGAACCGGCCATCGAGCAGATGTAGTCCCCTTTCGTTTTTCCTGACGACGTTTCCTCTCTTTCCTATCCCTTCTTTTCAAAATACCCCTGTATTTAGAAGATATCTTACTTAACTTTCCTTACCTTTCGCCATCCTTGCTAGCGTTTTCCATGTCGGAGCAAAGGCATGACAATGTCCGCAAAAACTAGAGTAAAACTCGACGATCCAAGCCGACTGACTATTATGAATTACACTGGAGATTGTATCGTTTTCTAAAAGCACTATATGGTCGGCGGATGAATATAATACACCATAGGAGAGTCTTAAAGAACAGTAAAATACAAAAACAACTAGAAAACATCTACAAACAAGCAAGTGATCGGCCATACTTATTTCCTATCTGAAGCCATCTGAAGGGTCTCAACAGTCTGAAATAAAGCCGTGGTTGTAGTTTACCGCTACATCATTGTGGGCTCAAGTCAATGAAATGGGAGTAGGGAGAGACAGTTGTGCAAGAAAAGAATTGAGCAAGGATGGGGTTTTGCACCAAAGTCCAGTTATTAGGGCTAAACGCTGTTTTTAAAAAGGCTAACTTTCATTCAGTGTAATGAGCAACCCCATGTAAAGTACGTTGAAAATAACCAATGTCGAAAGTTAACGCTTAATGGTATTGTAGAGACAGATTCAAACCTTACACATGAAGCAATTTTCTCCATTCTTTTATTTACTACTTTAAATTCTAAGAGTCTTTCGTGTATTTTGAGTGAAGATGACAACCTGTTCTTGGGAATACGTTCCAGTAAAAAGTACCCTTTCATGAAGTTTCAGTGAACCAAAATAATAAACAGACTAAAGAAAATAGGACAGGACATCGTCTCAAAGTGAACATCTCTAACTTCCTTACAATCGTTCATTTGTCTACCCCCTTTAAGACAGGAGACCTTATTTCATGACCCTGATTTATTTAGTTTCTCTTTCAAATTACAGTATTGTTTTTTTTAAACTGACATTTTCACCTGCATGGAATTAGGTTTTTTTTTTTTAAGGTAAAAAAAATTGTCGATACCACACATGTAGACCGCTCTCAACTGCAACTTTCACACTCTTTTGAGGGCTTTCCAGTCCAAAAAGACACCTTGTTAAAAACGCGCGCCAAATAACTTGTATACCCTGTTCATCGTCACATACCCACTTAGGCGCAATAAGGACATCGACATACTGTCATGCATCTGAAGGTATTTTATGTTTAGGAAGACTTTTTGGCACACGATTGACAATGTGACTGTATTAGTGAGCCTAACCGTTCTACGAGAATCTCTTGGACAAGAAAAAAAATTTCCGTTAACAGGTAACCATTCTAATCGGAAAGAATGAAAGGGATTTTTGAATTCCCGGGACAAAAGATAAGTGTGCCCGATATAACGTGGTATCTCAATGTATAAGGCGGACGTCCGTAAAGTAGAGTTCGACTGTCGATTTTTAATTCGGGGTAGAAAGGGGACGGAGGACGAAGAGGTATTTTTAATTTTGTCCGAAAACTTTCGTGGCCCTTCCTTTTTCTCACTTCTTCAGTCATGACCCTCCCTTATCAGACAAAACAAAAACAAAACAATAAACCAACGGTGACCATCGACTGTTATTGAACCCGATAATCCACGTTATCGCGTTCTACTACCGTGGGGAGTATCAGTGACTGTGGAATATGCGCTTTCAGAAGTTCAAGACCGTCAATGAAGTTTCTCACCGGCCCTATTCTCGTCCCCAGAGCCACTCGGCTTAATTTGTAACGAACCCCTCGTTTAAAGACCGCGCGACCAAGAAAGACGGGCTCGGAATGACAATACACCTGTCTCGACTAATAAGTTACCCTTTTAGTCCCAAGAGTGAACAGGGACAATTTTCTTCTTAACAATACACTTTGAAGAGAAAAGGTTAAAAGAATTAATAAAATGATCACTTCAAAGAAATAAAGTGCTTTCATGTGATCTTTTGATAATTTCTTTCAACCAGTCCTCTGCAGTGTAGAGAAAAGTGTGGAGATCAATCTAGAGAATTAGTATGGGGATATCAGGGCTTCATGGTTTAAAGGTGATGTTACGCGGGACGATTCGCAACGACGATTTTTAGCGCAACACAGCGTTGCCACATTGTTGGGACATTGTTTCAAATGGTTGCAACACTGTTCCAACATTGCAACGCTGTGTTGCGCTAAAATTTTAGTCTTCTCTGCGAATCTTCCCGTGTACCATCACCCTAAAAAGAAATTTAATAATTTCAAGTAAGGAAATAAAAATAATAAAAAGAGTTGTGTTTCTTCAATGATCAGTGGTTTTAATGATATTCCGAAGGCCCTTATAATTCACAGTTCATTAAAATTTCAAGTTAGCAGCAGGTGAATTTGCTAACCAATCAGAAGCTAGAAAAACTTAAAACATTATTGCTTAGTTTCCTATAATGTAAATTAAACTATATTTTCAAGAAGCATCACGGATCGATACATGTCGCTTCAAGGAAGAAACGAGTTCCTCAAGAAAGATGAAATAACAAGTTTATTTTCACCTCCGTCATCGAAATCAGTTTTCAGATTTGGGTTACTCTAAAGCATCATCTCAAAGCAGTTTTTTCTTGCGGCCAAAACGTCGACGATGAGAAAAATATCATGAGTGAGCTTATTGCTACCGCACCATTGTATGCAAAAACTAGAGTTCATTTTACAAAGATTGGAAATATTTTATGCACCGGCAAAGGTTGTATCGGCTGCGACAGGAAATTTCACGCAAGTGAAGAAGAGGAATTGTCGCAAATTCTTGGCGAAGTTGACTCCGTGGATTTTAACAAACAGGAACCTCGTTTTCTTCCAAACTCAGATGAACTTGCATATCACGAGGACAAAGCTCGTTGGTATGGCAACACGTTTCCTGCTCGGCGGATTTTGATGGGGACAAAAAAGAAACCCAGGAAAACTAAGCTGCAAAGCATAAGAAAACTAGGAGTGGAACAAGGCAGTGTGAAAATCAATTCACCTAGAACTGCGCTTAAGGAAAGAATCAATAAACCTGATTTATCAGGGCTTCGTGATAGCAACGATCTTTCGAACCGTCAACCTGAAGGAGATTTTTTAACAAGTGGGAAATTTAAGCAGAAAACGCAAGAAAAAAGTAAAACAGTAACTTTTGCTGCCCCTCTAGTTAGACAGAGCACATTCACGGTCGGAGAAGAAAGAAGAAGATTCAAAATAAGCGATATCAAACCTGAGAAAGGTACACTCAAATCAATTCAATTATCAGGAAACAGACAGGGTAGTATAATTCATGCAAGGTCAAAAACATATCCGTTTATTGCCGAAAAGAGAACAAATTTCTTGAAAATGCTTCAAAATAGTAATGTAGGAATCTTTGACATTGAAGCAATGCAAACCAAAAAATCATCGAAATGGGTTGAAGAGGCTTTGAAATCTGGCGCAAAAGAGGAAGACATTTTCCCTCTGATTCACTCTAAGAAACAGACTAGAGCGGTTAAGAAAATTAGTGAAAATAAAACAGCGCTTGCACGGAAAGACCCCCAAGAACAAAACAACAAAAAACCGCCGACAGAAACATCTGAAAGAGATTGTCTTGCTTATGGAGAAAACAAATCTGTTCTTGTGATTGAACATGCCTATAAAAGAGTAAAAGAAGACGACAGTCTGCATAAGCTTGGTTTCCGATCTCAGCAAGGTCAAAGACATAAGAGTTTTCCTCGAGTGTCAATCTTGGAAATTGCAGAAAGTCTGGATGACCTGGTACAATTAGGAGTTGTTAAACTAATCCAGGAAGTCCAAGGACGCTGGTTTATTCTGGTAAGCAGCAGGATTATTCGCGATCTTCTTATTCTAAAAGGAGTTACCTTGCGTGGAAGGACTTTTGAATTGACTGATCTAGATGTCGCCGCGAAGTGACCGTCAACTAACACAATTACGGTTTGGACCAGCATCCAGGCTGGACGTTGGCCGCAATTCCTTATTTGGCCTAAACGGGTATGTGCCGTTGAACATGGTATGGTTTTCAGGGTCCTGAGCCTTTCCAAAACATCTAATTCTATGATGTTAGTGTGAAAAATTACGTAATCCACTGGATAGTGATTTATCCAGTGGATAGCGCTATCCAACGTTTGAACCGGACCGGGGCCAGGCCTTGAAAGTCAGTTGAGGGGGGGGGGGGGGCCCCCCTCTGACCCAAATTCCCTTTGGTTCCGGTTTACCCAAAATGGGGAAAAAAAATTGGGTTAGGGGTGTAACCAAAAATTCACATTTAACTTTTTTAAAAAAATTGAAAGTTAACCCGGACCACCTTTTTTTTTGGGAAAAAATCTTTAAAAATAAAACCCGCTTTTTTCAAATCTTTCCGATCGGGAATTCTCCTTAAAAATAATATCTATTTTGTGGTGTTGATATAAAAAATATCGCTCTCCCGATGTGTGTTGTGATGGGGAGGGGAGCGACCGCACGCGGGTAGGGGGCGGGGGGGGGGCGGGGATAGAAAGTTGGGGGGGGGGGGGGGGGGGGCACTCCTCTGACCAAACTTCCTTTGAGTTCTCGTCTACCTAGAATGAGTACAAAACATTGGCTACGAGCTGATACCAGAATCTTCAATTTACCTTCTTTAAAGAAATGATAAGTATCCCCGGCAGCCTCTTTTATATGGCAGTAATCCTTTAAAGATTAAATCGCGTTCTTTCAAACTTTTCCGCGTTTATTCCAATTCGCTTGAAATGTCAAATGTAGACGAATTTCCCTGGAGTTGATTTCATGGGAACCGCACTACAGCTTTTAATTAAAGAAGAGAACGAAAAATTCGTCGTCGTTTGTTTACATTCTCCACAAAATGTGAAATTAGGCATTTTCAGGTCGTAGTCTTGCAGTGACGGCAGAGAAATGTACAAGAAAAGGGTGATCATGGTGATGCACGCGCAAATTTGTTGTCTTGCTTAATAAACCTATTGCTTTTTGATAATTGCCGTTGCCAAGGTGATTACACGAGACGATTCGCAACGACGATTTTTAGCGCAACACAGCGTTGCAACATTGTTTCGAATGGTTACAATATTGTTCCAGCATTGCAAAACTCTGTGTTGCGCTAAAAACCGTCGTTCCGAATCGTCCCGTGTAACATCAAAGCTCCCACTTTCTTGGCGGTAGAGCGTCCACGCGAAGCGAGAGCGGCGTGTGTAGCCGTGAGGGATTGTCTTGCTCCCAGTCTTCAGGCGGCTCCACCACCAAAAAAAGATAAAGCATTCGCCTGCTAATCCCTCCAGCTTCTTAACTGTTTGTGTAAAGTAAAATTCTCACATCTTTAATACGTGAATAAAACATGTGAAAAAATCTGGCGCAGGCTAACTTTCATTTGTTC